CTTATAGAAATCAAACATATTTTTTAAATGATTTACTTTTTCAAAATACAGTTTAATACATTATTTTTCAAAGTGTAATTCATAGAAAAAAAATTTTCTTTTTCGTGAGTTACGTTTGTAGTATAGTTATCTGAACCAAAAAAAAATAAAGAAAATTTTAATTTGTTATTAAAGTATGATAATGATCTGATGAAAAACTATAATTGATTAAGTACCATCATTAACTTTGTATCTCATTTTGTGGTTATTACTATTTTTTTTACTAATTTTTTATAAGAAGCTTGTATGGTTAGTACTTAGAAATCAAAATTAACTTGGTATGATTTTCATCACAAATGCTTTTAAGATGCTTGTTTTATTAACAAAAGTACCCATCCTTGTTCTATTTTTTATTCACTTTGACAGACTTTTGTATAACACGAAAGAAAAATGTAATTAATATACATCGTCATTTACAATATGAGGTAAACTCCCAGTGGTATATAAATTTTAAAAGTTTGTTTGTACTATACAATGTACGTAAAAGCTAGAACTTGATACTCAAAAGAATATTTGTCAGTTTGGTTTATTAGATAACATTCAAATAAAAGATTTGTTATGTTTCAATATTATTTTCGGATAAATGAATGATAATAACGTTACAAAAGTATATTTTAATTTTCAAATCGATCAATCAAATATGTTTAAAGCTGTCTTAAGAGATTTTTTTGAAGAGCTTTGCGTGATCAAGTTTTATTTACCTGAATATGAGATTTAAAAAAATATCTTTAAAATACCCCGAATTGTCAGGGTAAAAACGTTGTTTTTTTCCAAAATTATCTGTAAGATATGACTAAATAGATCTTCAAGATGCATTTAAGCTTAAAATCAAATACATCGTAAGAAGTAGAAAAACTTGATGCCGAAGAATTCTTCATAAATATGTTTATGAAAATAAGTTGAAACATATTTCATTAATTAGTTTAAAACTCCAATATGCTTTTATAATCTTGTTCTTACTGATTCATAGATAGTTGACCTTGAGACATTTCCATCGCATGTCTGTTATTTTCTTAAGTAAACGTTGTAACACGTGTAAAGTAACAACCGAAAGTATTAATTGTTGTAAAACAAAGTCAGCTGAAAATATTATTGTAAGTATCAACAAGTACTAGCTTTTGTGTACATTGGTAAGTATACATTAGCTTTTGTGTTGTATATACTTCTGGATATTTATCTTGGCTCATAAGTTGCAATAGTCATTATTTATTTTTCGCCTTTCTGTAATAAAAAAGCCTGTCGAGCTAAAGAAAAACTAACAAAGAGGATAAAAACTGCATTTTTCATAAGTAAAAAAAAAAAAAAAAAATTATGACGATGTTCCAATAAATAAATAAGATTACAACATATTACCTAAGTTACCTCTCCAAACCCTAGACGTCTTACAAATATTTATTATAGATTTATAAGTCCAAAATAAACTTCTAATTCCATTGGTTAAACTCATTAGCAAGTACACATGATAAAAATTTTTTAGTGTACATTTATCAGCTGTTATAGGAGAAAAAACTAAGTATGGTTGGTGATGGTTCAATGTCGAAGGTATAAAGAAATATCTCGAATCACAAGTCAATCGTGGCTGAGGAGCGAGTGCCCCAAAAGTTTAAAAAAAATTGATACTACTACCAATAAAACAAACCTCTCAGAAGTTTTGATGATCGAAATTATACTGAGTAAGTAAGCTTAAAATTATAAGTACTAAGTACATAAGTTTCTACTAAAAATATTAATTCAAAATTAGTAATGAATACAAAATTAATGATCAAAATCGATTACTTGAGTACAGTTAGATATTGTTTTTTTTTTAATATAAATCAAAATTTGCTTTCAGTTCGTATTATTTTATTAAAAACGTTAGATTTCTTTCATCTCCAAATCATCCTACATGTGTTTTTAAGATATCCGCCAAAAAGCTTTTTAAAAAAAGCTTATTAATAAAAATTTACTAATAATCTTCAAAACTACTTTTCTTGTCAAAAACGCTTGAGAAAAAAATCTGGATGAATTTTAAACGATACGTTACATAATTGCATATAGTTTTAAGAAGACGTTTATGTTGAAGGAACTATAAAATAAGTTAAATTGATATCACTTTCTGTTAACTTTTGAATAAATCGCAAAATGTATTTTTTTTCGATCCAAAGTCCTCTATCTCTCTCTCTCTCTCTCTCTCTCTCTCTCTCTTTCTCTNATGATTTTTCTTGGTCCCTTGAACTAATACCAATTTTCCTCTGACCTAAAAAATATAAGCATTGTATTAACTAACAAGTAAGGACAGGTAGATGGAGAACGTGATATAAAATTTTTTGTTAACTACTACAAAACTTGTTGAAATGGTTAAAGTTGCTTTTTATCCTGACCAGATTACGTAGAAAGATAGGTTAGAGAATAAACGCACCAGCTCTGTTTGTTACTACACAAATGCTAAAAATTGATTAGATTTTCTCTTTTAACTTTTAGTGTATCTTTTTTTTGGTACCATATTAAAAAAATATCTAACCATAATTTGTTTGTTATTTGATATCTACCAAAGGATGCTATGATTGGTTTGTTTACCGCAAAGTAATACCTACTGTAAAAAGTGCGAAAATTTCTATTCAGAATTTGAGATTTAAAATTTTATCAACTTATCCATTTTTTAATAATAACTCTTTGAAATTTCAAATTCTAACTACAATCTTATACATTTACCCGTATGGCAGCCAATTTTATTAAATAGAGTATATTTTGCTACAATTAAATGGTAGTTTTCCTACGAGTTTGAAAAGTCTCTGTTTGCGAACCGAGAGGTTTGCGGCCCGAGCCGAAGGCAAGGGACGTAACGAGGTTCGTAAGGGAGACTTTCCAAACGAGCTCCGGAAAACTGCTTTTTCGCCCGAGGAAGTACCAGCCTCCCAAAACCACCCGAGGGCGGAAATGTGTATTTTTTGTTATTCAAGTGATCCCTTCAATCAATGTATTTTGAGCTCAGGTCAAGTCTAACCAAAAATCAACATAGTATTGCCCCAAAACTTTTTTTTCCCAATTTTGATTGTTGCTCATGCAACATGGTATTGATAGCATAGAGATAAATTGATTTTTGTATTGGCACCTGATATTTTTTGAAAACTCATCATAAATAAGTGGCTAACCTCGTAGTCTTCTTTGGTTAGGCGATCAACAGTTGGTACAGGCGGGTGCAGTCTAGCAGATTCGTATATACACTGATCTAAGTATTTCATGTCGTTAAATCCACTGTAGGTCAAGCCGTGCTCCTTGATTGCACGTTCTATGTCCTCACGTGCCTTGTCTTGATACTCAGGATTTTCTGCCAGCTCCATAAGTGTAAAAGAGACGGAATTAGAGCTTGATTCGAAGCCAGAAATGTAAGTACCTGTTAGATTTACTAAATTGTCACCCTCAATTTCTGGAATTGTAAAAATTTCATTGGTTATACATCTAATTACACATTCCATACAGCACAATAATTATTAATTATACAATGTTTAATAATTGTTGTATTTAAAAAAAAATTATATAAAATAAATTACTCACTGTAAATAGGATTTTGTTCGCCGTTCTTCAGTTCAATAAGTATATCGATAAAGTCACCTCTTTTATTATCAGTTTCTTCGCGATTTTTAAGACTTTTCCGCAGTATTGTCCTTACTAAGGATTTGCTCAACAAAAGACGAGGTCCGATTATTGTAGCTATTTCTGGCATGAAAAATAGGTTGACCAAAGCAACCATCCGTTTAAATCCGTGAAAGAAGTCATATTCTAAAAAAAGGAAAATAATGTTAATAATTCAGACTACTTAAAAGGTTTAAGTTCATTCAAAATCTTATTTTACGTTGTAGCAATAAATTAAAAACTGGATGGTAAACCAACGTTGCTTGGACCAATTTTCAGAAAACGATTATGTCAGGTCAAGTTTCTATACAACAGTCTTGGTTTGCCACTTTGTATTCATGTCCTTATATTAGTACAAATATTTTCTAGGTGTAATTCATTCCAAAAAATCCTTTTTTCAACTCAAAACAAACTCAACATCTTCGGAGTAAAATTCCAATCCAAAATTATACACACTACAATTATAATCCATGCAAGTATATTAGGAATTATATGCTTTACATTTTTCCTCAAATAATAGTTTCTTTACGTAAATAGAAGTAACTACGACCTAGAAGTAATTAAAGAATACAGTTCTTATATCCTCAGCTCTAAATTAAATTAATATGGATTACAGGATCAATATGAGTTATGAACCTTTAGAATGTGATATTATTTTTAATAACACTAGGTTCTTAATCAGGATTAAGGGCTTGAAAATAAAAAATTTTGTTTTATATTTATTAAATTTGAGATAAGTTTGAAGTTCAGATTTTTCTACATTGATAATAATCACTATAAGGGTTTATTTTCAGTTACATTTAATAAAATTATGTGTTTAGTTGTTTCTTAATATCAAACTTAAAATCAACCCTAAGCCTTTACAAGTGTAAGAAATAGAAGAACAATCGTTACCGAATTTGGTGTACTCATTAGGATCATGGAACGAGTCAACTGTGATACCAAGAGCGATATTGGCAGTGGCATCAGTGGTGTACTTATAACTTAATTCCTGGGCATCAATCACTGCCTGTTCGTTTGACTTATTGGTTTGCTCCTTTAGATAGTTCATCATAGTCTTGGCTGTCTGCATCAACAGAGGCAGCATTTGCCTTAGTTTGTTGCCACTGAGTGTGGGAGTGATCTTAGATCTCAGGTATTTCCAGGTTGGATTCTTGAGACCGAATAGATTGGTCATACCCAAACTGTCCATCTGCTGGGTACCTGCATAATGGCGATCTGTGAAGTTATCGAATCTTCGAATCATGACATCCTTAATGATGTTGGGATCACGAAGTAGCAGACATGGCTTGTGGAAGATGTAAAATCCAACAAAAGGTGCATCCTTATTGATGGTGGAGTTGTGGAGTACACCCATGTGCCATCCTGGGGCAGTGCGGAAGAGCACGCCATCCTTGATGTGGCCAAACACTAGGTCAGCGTTTGGCAATTGCTCGACACCTCGCCGGTTCCAGTAGTTTAGCTTGTATCTTGCGTAGGAACGAAACAGCACGAGCGCCACAGCCCCAAAGACTACTACGAGGAATATGCCGAAAAGCATAGCTGGGATGATCCTTATTCAGACGAGAGACTTGAACAAAAAGACGCCATATGAATATTTGTTTTTTCAGAAGTAACAGCAAAGTTTTACAGTAAACTGCACCGATCGTTTATTTGCGATCGTCGATTTTCTATGTGTAACTATTTAAAATTTAGATATAGGATGTGTGCCTACTGCTAAGCAAATTTAAATTACAATTGGAAATCTTTCTAATTTTCTTCTCCTGAAATCTGCTACTAAGCCTTACAGATATACTGTAGTCGTTCTTTTCAAAATAGCAAAGTGTTTCCTTTACTGTATATTCCGCAGTCAAATAAAAAATTGTTTATAAATTATTCATATGAGGAAAAAACAAGGATACATTATTCACAATTAGAAAACCTGTTTTTTAAAAGAGACTCAAAAGTATGAAAAAATCTCATAAAAAAGCGAAAATATTTAAAACAGATGTTGTGACCATGTGTCTGAAAAGAACTTAGTTTCAAATTTTCGTAAGAAAAAAAAACATTGTCTCACGTTTTGCATAAGAAAAATATAGATAACAAAGAAACGATGTGGAAATCTTTGTTTTGTCACAACCGGTTATGTAACTATTTCTTAGTAAGGAAAAAACATTTCTGCACTACCCGAAATGTTTGGTAAGAATATACGTGTGGTATTATCATACATCTAATGAAATATTTTCCGTATTTCAGTGCTCACGTGCATAGCTGATAAATGTTTCGAAAAAATTACAACAAAAATTTTACTTCCAAGCGAATAAGGCTCTAATAATTCCTTCTAAATATTCAACAGTTTTTAAGACTTTTTGAAATAAATTTACTTTTGATATCAATGACCTTGATATTACATTCTGTAAAATTTTCATATAAATTACGAGTCATAAGTTCACAAAAAAAAAAAACAGATTTATTAACTATTTATAGGCATCGCCTCTTTCTTTCATGTATTTTTTTTTTCGTAACTTTGCAAGTAAGACTCAATAAGGGCAGACTGATTAGATTACACTAAGATCAGATCAGACAGCACATAGGAAAAAAGTAAAGAACAATAGGGCTAAGGTCAACATTTTCACAGAAACTGACACCTTAAGAGTAAAAAATCGTATGTTTGTATGAGTAGTAAAGAACAAGCTGTAAAAAATTGTTAAATATATGGAAAAAGCATATCTTATTTAATTTTTCATGCTATTAATATTTAAAAAGTTATCTTACCTTGACTGATTGAAAAGCTTATTGTGGCATGTACTTCTAACGTGTTACTCGAGTTAAATGAAGGCAAATCAATGCTCTTAACTATTTTCAAAATATCATCAGCAATCTTGAAGATAAGTTTTCTCCAAATGCCTTAACTCCTAACAGTTGAGCTGAAAGCTCTAGCTGAAAAGAGACTATTTCACAAAGCAGCACGTATTTATATCCTGAGACGACAATAATTTTCATTTAAAATGTAATGTAACATGTACTGAGATTAGACAAAGAGGCGTAGCTAAGCGATGTTCAAGGCTCGTAAGCGCCATTTTTAAGTACATGTAGAGGATAAAGACGTGAATAACTAAGCTCAAGGCGAGTAAATATATTATAACACAAGCAATTGTTTGAAAAGGTTTTGATTAGACAATCCAAACACTTCCCTTACCTGAACAGCTTTTTGTTCCATAAAATAAAAAAAAAACCTACGAACACATGGAACTATAGCTCAGCCAATCATGGCTAAGTTTAAAACTCTACAGCTGATTTGATGATTGGCTGAGCCAAAATTTCAACACCTCTATAGGACTCTTTGTGTTGTAAAACAGGAAATTACTAAGGTAGATAAAGAGACACAAAATCTCCTTCAGTGAGTAACTTTACCCTTATTTTCCTCTTTTTTTTTTATTCGAGGTCATATCGACACATGTCTTAAATTATAAAGGTAAAATATTACCAAAAAATTTGAGGGTATTTTTCGGGTGCTCTGGTTTCCTTATAACCCTTGGCCAAAGTTTGAAAATTTTTTTCGTGTAGTCAAAATTTTGATGCTTCCATTATTTTTTCACATTTCAAGAGTACGTGTAGCAAATTTCACATTTTTATGTGAAACGGTAGAAAATTGTGAAGAAATTTGGTGGAAAGGCTTCTCACTACATGCAGTCGATGGAAAACACCCATAAGACATACCATGAAGCGAGGAGGGGCTTGTTCATGTTTTTGTTCATATTTCTGTTTCTTTATGTTTAACTTCAGTTTTCTTTTCTTTAAATGAACTACAAATTCGAAAAAAAATTCAGTCCAACTCATGGGATCTCAAGGAATAATTCATTTCATTTTATAACATTGGTAAATCAGATTAAAGGGGACCACCTCAAAATATCATTCATCAAAAATTAAATTATACGAGAAAGTAAAAGTTTAACTAGAATTCGCATTTTTCATGTGCTCAAGAGTAATGTTTTTACTATTTTAGAATATAACTACTACTTAGTCAAAAAGCATTCAAAATTATGACAGCTCACAATTTTTTCACGCAAGTTCAACCAAAGCTTAGAAATTCTACTTTGTTTTCACATTTGTTGTACCGGTATTAGTATTAGGAAAAACGTCCAACTCGTTTAAACTTTGGCATATAATTATTTCCAATCTACAATATTTCCGGAAAAGATATAAAATACTTCCAGATTTTAGCTGTACACTAAATTATATGTTATCAACTTTCGATGCATAACGATATTATCGTTCCCATTTGTTTTCGGCTTTAGTAAACACTGAAGTGCTTTCATTTGACTTAGGCAAAAGTTTAAAATCAGTACTTATTTTCCAATATTTTTTTCTATCTTTGGAGCTTTTAAAGATTTGGACGCTTACTGTACCCACGGTAAAAAAATTGGAGTTCACCATTGATGTGCATCCCAACCAGATCAATCACAAGGGGTTTTTCGTGCCCGTGTGACGAAAACTAATATTTCTAACTTGGGTATTTTTTTTTAACTCCTAACACTTTTTGCATTTTCGTTTGTAATAAATAATGTTCTACGCTAGCTACTTAATTTCACTACACTAACTAAGTAGAATAATGCATTGTGATCCTGAAGGATTTTGTGATCCCCACGATGTATACATCCAGTTGGGGAAAAATAAAACAAGCCTTATGGGGAAAATCTGTATTTATTTTTTTTACAGCACTTTCAACGATTGTAATTTTATTCAAAGGCTTTCATTTTATTACAATCGTTGAAAGTGCAGTAAAAAAAATAAATACAGATATTCCCCATAAAGCCTGTCTTATTTTTCCCCCAATTGACTACATGTACCGCGGGGGTCACGTGACCTTTTGGGATACCAATTTTTTTTTTAAACATCAGTTGAGCTGTCAGCCTGATGTTTTCAAAACTATTTTTTATTCAATGGTTCGTTATTGTGACTTTATAAAAATATTTGAAAATACGCCGTATCTTGAAAAGGAAGCAAAATAGACAAAAAATAAAAAATTTGTTGAGAGATTTCTAAATGGAAAAAATTATTACAGTCAAATAGAGAGGTATTGATTGGTAATTGAACACAAACACAATTTTTATCGTTTCCATTGGGCTAAAATAGGCCCTTTCTCAACTCTGAAATAGTCCTTTCTTAGGAAAAATCCAAAATGGGACCTTTCTCACAGAAAATCCAAAATAGGGCCTTCTTTCGTCCCAAGCGGTGATATTCCACTGTTTGGATGATTTTACAATGTAACATTTCATTGACTGTAATTTATAAGTTAGATACCTTTATTTGAATTATCATCAAACGTGTTTATTTTGATTTGTACCTGTAGAAGTGGACCATACTGTTATTATAGCAACAGTTAATCAATTAAAACTTGTACAGCGTTGACGAGTGAAAGGAGTTCACACGAAATAAATTTTGTACTCTTGAGATAAAAATTATCAGTTTTCTGTACAAAATTACCTGTTTTATGCAGTAAGTTTATTGCTTCTTTCTGTTTTAGTTTAATTTATCCCTGATGAAATTGGCACACTATTCCAGCGAAACGTTGTTATGAATTGGTAAACTTGAAATAAAAAATACAATTTAACCGCATTCCATTCCATCCCGTAAAAATATGAGTGTAAAATTTCATAGTGTTTATTGGAGACTATTACATTTATGAAAAAGAAATTTTCACAATTTTCTAGTAAAATTCATAGAAAGATGATCAACTATATCATTCTATATTATAATCAAATGTTTCTTAAAAACATTCAAAAATGTAGCTTATAACAACTATTTCAATATCTTGGTAAGAACATTTAAAATCCAAAATCATCCCGATCGGAAGTCCAACTCTTAAGAGGACCTAGCAAGGTAACAATGCAGTCGAATACAATGTATGGCGTTGTTACAGATTTCCAATCTAAATACTTAATTTTTGCTACTTTGCACAGAGAGTACAGCCAAAATATAAAATATGATTATTATTTACAGTGTGGAGAAATCAGGTAAATTTTTTAACATTGAGTAACAAACGATTTTTACATACATGGAACTATGCAGTTAGAAGTCTTTTACCGTAGGCTCATGTGGGAAACAGAAGATGTAGGCTCGTGTTGTCTAAGAAAAGTGTGAAAAAAATGGGGGAAAAAACTTTGTAGTGATAATAATATGCCATCAAAATCTGTATTTCCGAAAATTCATAACATTCTTTCATTGAAAAAGAGAGAAGAATGTGTATGCTGCTTACTAATTATTTTTCATCTTTTAAAAAAAGCTATTGAAGTTTTTTTATGATTGATCGTTAGAAACTAGACCTCCGAATAATATACGTTCGTTAATTTATTTGAAAAATAATATCCTGTTTTTTTTCAGATGCTTTAGAGAGCCGCCGATTTAAACACAAAAATGCATTTCCTGTAAAATCTGACAACAAAAGAGACCACCCTCACCAGCCCTCGTCCACAAAGTTTCCCCATCTACCTTTTCTCGGTATGTATGTACCATCCACTGCTCAACTGCCACACCTACCGTCGCTAAAGAAACTCGCTGCAATAGTCTCCCACGCAACCATGAGTCGCTCCCCTACGTACCAACGCACTAACCAACAAAAGCTCACTCAACCTCAACGTCAAAGCTTGTCCGACCCTCCGACTCCGCGGCGCCAGGCTCGCTCGCATCTATAAAGCCCCGAGCAATAACACACCCTCGGCCACCCCTACGGAGTAGGGGCTCTCCTGTTTCCTCCCTTCCCGCAAGGGTCAGAAACGGTGCAGCATTGACCGCGCGCTCTGCTCACCGTAAGAGCGATTGCTGCCGTGCGTGCTTTAACAATTAAAAATAAAAATAAAATTACTACAGTAAAGCACATCCGGTCAAACCCGACAAAAACGTTCAAGAATCTATCAGTCAATAGAAATAAATATAAATTTCCCAGAAACATGGTTGCACCGAGACTAAAGAAGAAAGTGCCAGTGCAGGTATGAGCGGGCCAGTTGCGCCCGCTCGCCATCGGTCACTATAGGAAGAGCTTTCATTGCTCGGTGGAAAAACGTAGTTTAGCCAACGACGCGCTGGGGGAAGAGGAAAGGGAGTGGAAGTCAAGATGAGCATCTCCCAGGACAGTGTATCTACGGTCGTCTGCCGGGAGGTTTTCGACGAGAACTCCCAGCCGTCCGAGAAAGGTGGGTGCTAAGCTGTCGATTCAAACAGCTGATGACGCTTATTTCATTTCTTACTTCCGATCGAGGGGACGCAAAGGACGCGTCGGAGAGGAAACTCTCATTGTACTTGCGCTGAATAGAAAAATTTCATAACTAGGTTATCGAGGGTGTTTTGCCTTTCCTCTTAGTCTTGTCGTTTCCAAAGTATTCAATCATAAAATTCTTATTACTTAGTACACCACGATAATTTATAGGGAAAATGTTATTGTGTTTTTTTTTTTTTTTTTTTTTTTTTTTTGCAAATGATGATCCGATACGCACAGCCTCGTGAATGCAATTGCATGGGCATGCTTCTGCAGTCGCGTGATATCGTAGCTAGTCTTGCGTAATTCTTCGGAGTGATTTCGTGATTTTCCTTGCCAACGCAAAACTTCGTATACACGCTCGGGTGACCAACTTTTAACACGCGTAGGTCGTAACCTTGAATAATACATAAGCAGCGCGTCGTTTGATGAAGTACGTGTTGTTAGTATTTTGCGAGGTTTTTTTTTTTTCGGTTCAACGAACGACTTATCGCTCTCTGGCTTATACCTACATTGATGGACTCTGTTTTTTTCACCTATTTCCACCCGCATTTCACTCTATTTTTTTCCTTTTTTATGTAATATGTTCGTATGTTATTACTGAACAACAAATGCACGATAAGTATATGTAAACTGAAAACGAAGGTCGTACCTCATACCAAAATCCTTACATACTGATAAATTAACACCCCATTGAAATCGACAATGATTGTAACCATTGATTTTTTTTCTCTGTTTTTATGTACACTAAGAATTTGGAACATTATCGGAACAACCATTGATATTGATATTGGTATGAGTTAATCGAGAAAAGGGGCTGAGCCCCACGTAGGTGTTAACTGTGGTACACAAAAATTATTAAAGCAACATGCACACGCATTAAATTTGACGATTTCTGACGAGTAAAAATAAAAAAAATTCAAACGAACAGCATAGAAAAGCAACACATGGATCGAAAAAATAAGAAAAAAAAAACAACAGGTTCTAGCAAATGCACGAGTCCTTTACTACAACTTAGGTTTATCATTACCCTGCTCGTGTACGCATGAAAGGGTTGCAGCCCACACGAAACCTGCATGTATGAGAAAATGTACATATGCGTGAATATACATGTACACGTACGTTTATACACACTGAAATGAGGAGGGGGAAATCGAGGGTCGGAGGGCTGAAAATCAATAGAGCCCGCAGTGCGGCAAAAATGTTGTCACCCCCACACATTGGGCGCATGCTACTCCCATGCACTGGGCACTTTATCGTTCTCCCTCTAATTCTCCTTCTTTTTCTTCGTCTTGTCTGTATCGTCTCTATGTGTGTATGTGTATGGGCGTGTGGGTGTGCAAACTACTTCCGGGGGGTATATTCACCCTGTGTATATAATACATCCCTTCCACCCAAACTTGAAGTGACGACAAGACGGCACCCTCGGGGGTAGAAGATGTTTTCGAGATTTGATGACTTGTTTAGGTACTTGTTGTTGTCGTTGGAAGAAGGGTTGGGAAGATTAATTCCAAGCGTGGGATTTTTCCGTGGTTAGCAACTGGAAGGTAAACACGGGGCTGTGTTTTCACGAATAGAGAGTTGGGTGATTCCGCGTCAGAATTTTCCTACTTTTTGGGAGAAAATTCAGATGTTAGTCAACACAAACTCTGCTTTTTATTTATTTATTTTTTAATCAACATCGTTGGGGAGTGGCCACTTTTCAGTACAGCATAAATTCTTTGAGGTTCTCGTATTCCATTTTTTTCAACAATATCAGTGTTTGATATGCAATCCTGTTGTTAACTATTTTTACCATAACAATAGTCTCCCGTTGAAATAAGGAAATCGGCAGATGTACGTGCAATTCCGAAAAAAAAATTGTCGACTCTCCAGCGATATTGAAAAGTTAGTACCTCAGGGCGTACACTATTGCAGTCAATATACATGTGACTGCTATACGTACCGTACGAGAAGCTATTCACACATCGTGCAGAAGCCAAGCCGTGAAGCAGGAAATTAAAAAAACATCCCCTCGCTCGTACCCCATGCTCTGTGCATGTATGTATATACCCACGCTCATAGTTAAAGCCCTGGGTGAAAGATCCACAGTGTACATAAGAGAAAAGCTCGTGAGCACAAGCCAAGTCGGAAAGCGACGGCGTTTTCATCGTACCCCTTCCTACACCCACCGCTGCATACATCGCGACGAGAAAACATTCAGCTTACGAGCCGTCGTTGAACCTACGTGTAAGCTCAAAACAGCGTGAAATATCCATGGTTAGGAGGGGATGAGCGGATGGAATTTTTAAAGGCTATAGGTGTACGACGTATCAAAAAAATGGGTATCTACAACTCTCTTTGACGACTTTTTGCAGCCACTCTGCCCACCTATTTATTCTCTTTCTTTTCTTGGAAGGTCTCTTTCTTTTTTTTCTTTTTTTTTTGCAAATACAAATAAAAATAAACGGTTATTTAATAAGCGTAAACGTTGCGTGAGTAGGGCGAGGAGCGTAAGGTACACAGGGGTGGTGGCTCAGCACACCTGCTCTCGGAGCTGTACTCCCTGTGACCTATTGCTCATAGTGGTGGTATAGCAGGTATAGGTAGCTCGCGTGCGGGCGTATATACAGGTATATACTTGCATACAACGTACGAGCTGGAAAAATATTGACTCAATGGACACGCACGACCGAGTGTAGGTGTAACATTATATAGTACAAAGTGCTACATAATTTGTGTAGGCAATGGACTAGCGTTTTTTTTTTTTTTTTTTAATGTCGCCAATCGATGCACTTTTATCGGCTTATGACGTACGTGATGTAAAACAATTAGAAATTAATCAAAGGAAGGTAGTTGAAATAACAAGGATGTTGTGAAAAATTGAGTTATCCTCAATCGTTTTAAAGTAATCTCTATTTTCCGATAAAAATTGCCCATACATTATGCAGTTTAAAATTCTTACGAGAAATTATGTATCATTCATGCCTTTTGTATTGTTTCATAATTATTTATACTTCCTTAAATTATACTTACTTGTCATATGGTAACTATTTTATAGGGCAGATGTTTACAAGTGGATTTTATTTTTATCACGCAAACTTACCGTCGTTGCAAAATTTTGATGCACAACTCTGAATACAACATTCGATTCAGAAGCTATGAATTTTCTGGAAGAACAATATACAATATACGTACGTGGTTTTAAGCTCCCAAAATTTACTACAACATTTTTTAATTGATTGACATATTCGTCAGTTAAATGTCCATTTATGGATTCGCAAAACTCTCCCTGCATTTCAAATATTTTTAGGAGATAAGAGAACACCAGATACGAAACGACAGACGAAAATTTTTTTTTTGTAATTTTCTATCACGCGCGCGGTACAAGAGATTGCTTTAATAGCGATTCTCGATGATGGTATACATATCTACACTTACAACACAAAGGATAATACGGATCTTCGCGGAATTAACATCGGGTTATGCAACGGAGTACACTTAACGACTCATACAATGATGAACAATGTAGCAATGAACAATACGATTAATTTGTGGCGATATTGTGGTAAACCAATGGACACGTAACAATTGGACAGTGCGCGGATAAACTGGTAAATGACATAGTTACGACAATCGTTTGATTACTAAAAATTCTTGTAATTAGTCGATAAAAATTCTTAAAAACTTTTAATACGAATTTGAATTGATGTTCATCGCCCTGGAAATATGAGCCAATTTATGCAAAAAAATCAATATATTGATTGATACAGAGTTTGATTTTTAAAATGTGGTACTTGNGTTAATGTCAAAATAATTATGGTTATTAATTACAACAGTTATATCAATTTTTTTTTTTTGTTTAAATTGCGTATCCATGTAAAAATCAACCATTGCAGAGGCTAATAAATAAGAATACAAAATTAAAAAAAAACAAAAAATGTAAATATCAAAAGAAGTAATCGATTTTATAAGTGCTCAGCTTGGATGACCATTTTATTTAAGTTTCATACTCAAATAAACAGTTAAATGACCAACTTTACCCCCCCAAATGAAAAAAAAAAAAAAAAAAAAAAAAAAAAAAAAATTACCCAATAAAAACCAAAAAATCTTTATATTCGTGTTCACAGAGGTATTGGAGCACGCCCGCAAGCTAGGCATCGACCCAGACAACGAGCCCCAACTCCTAGAGCTGGCTCGCGAGGGTCTTATGGCTGCATTGCCAAAGGGCTGGATCCCAGTCTACGATGAAAATACGAACACGCACTACTACTACCAACGCAAGACCAACACCACCACTTGGGAGCACCCGATTGATGCGGTTTACCGTGACTTGATTGCCCAGGCACGCGCCACTGCCAATCCAACTAATCCAATAGCCATCGCAGTGGCATCCTCATCATCCTCGTCGTCGAGCAGTAACCGACGTCGGGCGAGCGTCGGTACGCTTGTTTGAACATGTTGATTAATTGTTTTGTTTGATTTTTTTTTTTTTAATCCTTTGCAAATCTCTGAGTTGCATTTTATACATGTACATATTATTTGATGATTGACTTAATCTATTTCGTTGACTCTTTCATACGTATGTACCTGTATTTAGGTACACATTAGCACGTGCAGTCTCCCTTTGTTTTTATTCATTTTTACGCTGTACGTTAGGCCATTACTTTTCATAATATGTTGCCAGAACTGCACACGCCATACTTTACAGTCAACGGTCTCTTCACTCTTTGTTAGCATGATCTGAACGACCGGATTATTGGTCAGACTTCCAAGTCTCTTTTAGCTTGGCTTGATACCTATGCGCTCGATACGCGCTACTGCAGATAGCGGATAGAGTCGGACGAGAAAAGAATTTTGAGACATGACTCTTCTATTTTTTTATTCATACACAGCAAGTGTTACCTTAACTTTGTTTAATCAATTCATTTTAATAAAAAAGGATAAGTTCTAAGGGTTATGGTTTAGGAGTGTATACAATACGTGATAGCTTTTTTACATAAAAATTGTTACGCTCCGGTAGGAAATTAATTGAACATGAATAGTGCAAAAAAAAAGGAGTATGATAGGAGATGGAGTGATTTTTTAAAATCTACTCTTTCCAGTATCTGTGTATCTACCAAAATCTTACAATTGTTGATAAGGGTATGTACTTTTATTGGATATCAAATAATTTTTGCGATTGTTAAAAAAATTGTCAATTACAAAAAAAAAATTTGCTATGAATACATATTTTTAACTATTAGAAGACAAATTTTTCTAATGGCGACTGATATAGTTGGAAAAAGTTTCATTACAGTTTCAGAAAAAAACGCAATTTTAAGATATCATACTTTTTTTATTTCCGATGGTCTATTATTGGGTCATTAATGAAAAGAAAAATCTTTTAGCTTTAATTTATTAAAACATATGATTCAAAAATTTTCATCCAAAACAAAAAAGAAACTTAATAATACTAACACAACGAAGAAATATTTTTTAAAAATCAAAAAATGTTGACACTGTTAAATCAAATTCATATTATGTGATGTCTGATAAAAGTACAGAGGTCCCTTTTACATCCCTTCAATGTTAGCATACAGCTACCTCAATCGTCTTCTTACAGTATATGTTTTGATCAAGATACTTGCACAAATACCAAGCACTTTTTACTTATTATTTGTACGTCTAATCTTTTACCATCCATGTATTTGTATTTTTTTTTGGGATATAAAGTTTGACTTATTATGAAATATTTATGTTTTAGCACAAACTCATGATATTAAAAAAGTCATTTTGTGTTCAAATGACATATCTTATACTTAGTAGTTATCACTCGTGTTCCTATCACGAAAATTGCGATTTTGATCATTGGAGTTATACAAAAATTTATTTTTGTTATGAATATGATAACCAAATAGCATGTAGTTTTAATATTTATAGCATCGTTACATTATTAAATGCGTTATAAACGCTCAGTCCATTAAAAAAAGCTAAAATATCTATTTTTAAAAAATTCAACATAATTTCTTCAATTTAAAAAGTTATTGTTACGTAGGTAAATAAATTTAATGAAATCTATGAATATTTTACAGGTCAATTAGTCAAATTGAATAAAGTAATTATTACAGCATGTGATTTTATTAAAATAAAATATTATTAACATAGTAATAAATTCAAATAACGTTGTATGTTATGAGAGATAATTAAAATTTGATAATACGAATGGTATTTTGAGAAATGCGCCTATCCAAAATATTGCAAAGATGTTATAGGTAACAAAGGCGATTGAAAATAAATTTGCTTAGCATAACAAAGTTATTGCTTGCCAACGGCATCGTTCCATCTGCTTGGTGCCATTCTCAATAATCTTGTAATACAAGTACCACCAGGCAACACTACTGGAAAAAAAGTTTTTATTAAATAAGAGTTATTTTAATTAATTGATAAAATTTATTAACAAAGAAACTCATGAAATATAAGAAAAGGAGTCGATAGTAGGCAAGAATTTGTTTTCTACTGTCATACCTAAAATTGGATTAGATACACCAACAAGCTTATTCAGTTTTATTAACTGTGATGTTGCTTCTCAAATTCATCTATTACTTATTCAGAACAGTCGAGAAAAATTTTCAATACGTAAAAAATTAGATAAATTAAACTACAAATATGTTAAAAAATTTACCTACGGGTATAAATAATTTTATGCCTATTACTATTTAAGTTAACAATTTTTTTAAGAATTCTTGACAGTAAATAATTATATTACTGTTTGAAAAGTAAAATAAATTTCTCAAAATAAGTATAAGATAAACATTTTTTCAATTTTTAATAATATAACAACATATTTTATAATCAGTATGCTAATTTCATTTTACAAAATAACAAATAGAAAAATTATTGTTTTAGATAGTGAAAATATTTTTTTTGGACTTCATGAATTTCTAAATTATTAAGTTACGACTTCCAAATTTATTTTATTGTTTTCGATAAGGAATTCTCTTTAATACTACTACATCTCTATTTTTCGTTATTTTTTTTTTTTTTTTAAGTCTTTGTAGTGGAAGATATTTTGAATATTTATTTTCTCAGTTTGTAATTGTAAATTGCAACTGTCAGAAATATAATACTGTACAGATCTTAAGAAACAACTATACTTAACAGCAAAGCTGACTAAATTAAGGAAAAAAAGCAATGAAAACTAGCATTTACGCTTGTTACAATTAAGCATACAAATGTGCCAAAATAACACTGTTATGTGGATCAATTAACCATCGAAGAATTTATTCTCTTAAACATGTATCTATTTATCTGTTTGCTGTTAAACACAAAAAATATAGTTTATGATTAAAGTTTATACTATTCGATAAAGTACAATAATTTAGAAATGTGGCATATATGTGGAACATAAACATGACATAGTGATATAAATATTGTTACAATAAACGAAAAGAAAAACTACGATGAAATATACACCATAAAAAATTTAAATGTTGCGAAAAGCATACAAGTTTCTTTACCACATTACTATAGTCCAGAATTATATATACATACATATATATCTCGCGTAGCGCAGATACCAACGATCTTCGCGATGTTATGTACCTAACTGTGAAAGTTTTCTTGCATGTACTAGAGGACAAAGTAAAGAAAAAGAATGGAAGTTAAGAATAAAGTATTTATTTGAGGAATAAAGCATCTAATCCGTGTTATTTATTTTTGATTCATTCTCTAAAACTCTTTCCATTTAACCAAAATCCTTGCTTGACTTTGCAGTACTCATACCGTATACTTATTTTTTGTTTCTAATATTGATTATTTTGAGAATATTATTGAGAATTAAATTAATAATTTTATTGCTGTAAAGAAAATTTTACATTTTTAACCTTTTAATTTTATTAGTAGTTGCTTTTTTAAAATTTGTTTCTCTTTTATTTATCGACTTGTTTTTACTGAATAACTTCACTTTTACTGTAAAAGTGTATTGGACATATTTCAATTACTACAGAAATTAAATTTATAAACTATTACGTATCAAATGATATCATGATAGATTTTAGAATAAATATACACTTCAGAACTTATTTATTATTGAAATACTTGGAATGTAATACAAACTTTCAAAATTAGGATACAAATTTTTTTCATTAGTCATCCTAATTCGTCGGTGGAATTAGGTTCACCTTTATAATGTTTTTTAATTAATTATGAAGGAAATCTTAGTTTTGGCACATTTGATTGTTTCTCATGGTTTTTAATTTTTAAACAATTCAGAAATCAATTCTAAAAAAATTAATTTGATGAAAAGTCAGTACTCAGTTAACGAATAATTTTTAACAACGATTTACTGGAGTTTGTAGAAAATTAGATTTAAATGTTTTAGTTAAACATCGTCTCATTTTTAATAAATGAATCAATTTAGGATGAAAAAAAATGTATGAAAAAATAAGTTATGTGTTATTAAATAGAAATTTCATCACTTTTAATTTTTATTATTGTCCATGCAAGTATTGAAAAATTCTAGTTTTATTTTTAAAAATAATAAACTAAATGACAATCTAAAGTATTAAAAAAAATTTTTGCACTCAAGTCCATCGACTACTAGCTAATTAAATTAAAAAAAAAAAGAAAACAAACTATGCCACACATTGAAGCAAATAAAAAACAATTAGAAAGACTCGTAAGCAGCGTATTTTCCGTAGGCGAAGACTTGCCATCGGAAGCCGAAGCTGTCAGAGGCACAAAAACACTATCACTGACAGCAGTGGCAACAGCAGCAGTAGCGGCAAGTCGTTGGGACTTGCCCAGGCCAGCGACGGCCGGTTTGCCACCACCAGTTCCTCAGCAGTTAAAATCACCGTCCACGCGAATACCAAAAAAACTGGCCCCACTGAAGAGGCATCGAAGCGAGAGCTCGTCCGGTTTTCCCAGGCGCTCGGAATCGTCCCTCGATCGGTTGACCCGAGCTTGGAAAAGCGGTGACTCTGAGGTGGAGTCGATCAGCACAAAGTCGTCACTGTCCAGTGATCGTGTGGCCAGAGACTATACGAATCTGAGGTTTCAGGATCCTGAATTTTACGAGAGTCCTAGGGTTATCGAAACCGGTAAGTCCGTTGTTTTCAAAGATCAAAAAAATATTCATCAGCCAATTTGTTGAAAATTCACAATCTTTATTTTCAAAATTCACATCTTACAGTTGACTTTGGTTAAATAGTTTTTGATGTAACAAGATAACCTGCAAAATTAATTACTCGTATCAAGGCGTACTATTAGAAATCGATATCTAGTGTTTCGTTAATGGATTTTAACAGCATCCCACGCACAACAGTAATAGGTGGAGTCTGAAAAATTACAAAAATTCCGAAGTATTGTCGAATAGCCGATAAATAGAATAAAGCGTCACATGAATTCCAATAATCAATACATCGTAATACTAACCCTCACGAAAAATGAGTTTTACTCAAAGAGCAATACATGCACAGCATATCAATAATTGAGTAGAGAACATCATTTGAAAATGGCATTATATCTATAAAATTTAGGAAAATCTACTGCCTTAAGGAATAGGTAGAACTGAATTATTGTCCTTATAGTTTATAATTAACCCTTCATAACTATGTATTTAATGTGACACATCGTTAAAAAAATGTTTGATACAATATGATATTTAATATTGTTAAAGATACCGACTTTTTTCACAGTAATCAATTAATAACATATGTTTACAGCAAAGAAAAAACTGGACCTACGGGACGTCTTAAGACGCTCGGAATCTCTAAGTCCACGCCACGAAAAAGACTGGAAACAGCTGAACAGTCGTTTCAGCTCCGAGGAGAACATCATCGACATCGACCACCTTAGCGCGACATCTTTGGGGACCAAGCCACGCACACCTGATACTTCGCTCAGCAAAGCGGCCGCAGATGTCCCAAGTTCAGTTGGACAAAAACCTCAACTGCAAGAACAGCAACAATGCAACCAACAACAACCCAAAGAGCTGATACTCAGCGGTGGTGGCTCGATTTTCCTCAAAAGTAACAGAAGTCGCGACACGACGCCATGTCACGACGAAGTAAAAACGTTTCCGGATCAACAACAGCCCGGCACCAGTGGCTTAAGTGTGCCGAGTGGCAGTAATGAGGATATGAACGCTTCTTGTGGATCTGACAGGCTGAAGTCTATTTTGAGGGATAAAATCAGCGAAGATGGTAAGTTGATTCTAGTTAACAACATGTCTTCTTCATCATTGCCATTTTCGAGGAATACAGTACTACTAATTTCTATTTTTATCATACTTGTGCACACAGATGACAGACACATGGACGAGGAGCGCAAGAGCGTTCGGTTCGATCTGCAAAAGGTGGCCATCCTTAACTCATCGGTAACAAAATTTAACGATAGTGAATCCGAAAAAGAAGATACCGATGAGGACAGTGAGCCCGATGAGCGAGTCGATCGGTTGTCCACGGCCTTGGCCGAAAAACGAGCAGCAGCAGTTTTGTCCCTTCAGAAGGTGCTCAATCGCCAGAGTACTGACTCCGAGGGCAGTGGTTCCTTTGGCAAGAAAGCGGAGATCGAGTCCAAATCGTCGAAAGTCGTAGCGAGACGTTTTGTCGTGGAAAATGTCACGGAAAAAGAACATCAGCTGCAACAGCAAAGAAACAAATCCGCGGACACAGATGATGAGTGTGCAAACGGCAAATTCGAAAACATCAAACACATCGATCTGGTGTCCAAGAGCGACTCGGAGAGGAATACTCTAAGAAGTAGTGGTGACTCGAGGTCAAATTTTTTGGATGAGCTGAGGAAGAGCAAGGATATCATGCTGGAGAACATGAAGAAATCCGAGATCAGGGCCAAGATAAAGGAAGAAGAGGAGAGTAGGTCAGGCACATGGTCGAGTAAGATCTTGAAGAGCCTAGAGTTGTCGAAAGAGGGCAAATGTCCGGCAAACTCGGCTCTGATGCTGGAAGTGGTGAAGACCAATTTGATTAAGGTGCACGAACAGGATATGAAGATGTTCAAACAGGAACTCGAAGACAAGTTGGAGGAAACAAAGAGGTACCTGGAGTCTGAGTTTAACGACCAGAAGTTGTCGTTGGAGGCCAGTTTGCAGGAAAGGCTAAGTGAATTAAAGAAAGAGATGGCTGACAAGGAGGAGAAAGAAATCCAAAAGCTCGTGGCTGATATGGACGTAATACGAGCTGAGAACCTGAAGAAGGTTAGAAGCGAATTGGAGATATGTTACGAGAAAGAAAGGCAGGACATATTGGCAAACCTCAAGATCGAACTGGATCAGAGGAAGCGCGAACTGTTGGAGCTGAGGTCGCAGGAGATATCAAAGCTGGAAAGCGAACACGAAAAAGGACTTGACGATGAGAGGCACGTAAAACTGGGTGAAATTGAAGTTACGAAACAACATGGCGAAAAGATAGAGAATCTGAAGAAGGAGTTAGACAAAGATTTTAATAATGTAAGGGCGGATCTGAGAAATCAGCAGAGGGAGAAGATCATGAAGATCAAGGACGACCATGAGAAGTGTCTTGCTGACATTTTAAGGGATTTCAAAACAGACGTAGGTTTAAAATTATTTTCTGTACAAATTTACCTGTAGAAGTATCACACTGCTGGAAGCTAATAATTTTGGTTCTCTGAATTTCGGATGATTGAGAATAATATGGCAATGGGCTTCTTTACACTGATAAATTTACATGGAAAAGTTACAATGGTTATTCTAGTAGAACTTCACGTGTATAGTATAACAAACTCTACTATACCGTAATGTATTGGAGCCACGTATTGTCGTTCGTTTAAAACTACCATAACCCACTAGAAATATGCTAAGTAAGGTCAGTTAGAAAAATAATACCTCATGTGAAATTGAATTGCAAAGATTGCACAATATAGGAAAAAATTTAAAAAATTAGTAGAAAAATTACAAGTACGGAAATAATAATATTGTATAAAGATGCAATTTTTTCCATAATAAATTCCATAAACTTGATATTTAAAGGATAACATCACTTTATCAATAATTACCATTTTTTATTGTCTTCTCCTTATTCTTGTTAAGTTAAAAAACAGGACAAGAAGAAGTTAGTTGGTCCAAATAATGTTAACTCTTAATTTTACGGGAATTAAATTGTCGTACGAATGAAATTGTTGAGGTGACTGATATTGATGTTTGATGAATTGCAGGAAGCTATAACGCGGAAAATGTACAAACAGAGGCTTGACGAGATACGTGCCGATCATGCAAAGGACATCGAAAACGAGATAAAAAAACTAAATGACTCAGCAAATCGTCAAGAAAATGGAGATAGTGACAAATTGCGTTACGAAAAACGATTGGTTGAAGATAAGTATAACATATTGAAAGAAAAGTATCTGAAGTTGAAAAAAGACATGCGAGCGGCTATAGAGAAAAGGAATCGACGTAAGGAATTGGCCAATGCAACGGCTTCAGAGACTGAGATGTCAACCTCGACAAGGACGAGAACTGATCGGACCGAGTCATCGGACCAAAAGTTAGTCTATACTTCTTAATTTTTGTTTTTTAATTATGTCAATCAAGTAGTCGTTATATCCTCTGTAGATGTTGGTTCATTCAGCTTATTTGTTTTTTTCTGTTAATTTTTTTGTACAGTTTTAATTTTGTATTTTATTGTTGTTGTATTGTTAGTTTGTTTGATCATCCTTAAGATGAAGAATATTTTCAAAAAAGACATAAAAAGGTTAGTGAAAATTGAAAGAGTGAGAATTAATTCTTAGTAACATTAAAAGGCTTCAGTGATTTAAGACGCCTTTTCATTGCTTCTTAACAGCATTAACACAAAATTGCTATTTAAACTGAGTAGGAGCTTCAAGAACTTATTGATTTTCCAAGCTACTGCACACCTATTTCTTCCGTATTGTAAAATGTTGAAAATAAAATTGTATTATGATAGTACGTAATTTATTTTAGAGTAGTTTCAAAATTAGAAGAAAAAAATTGTTATGTGAAATGATTAAATCCTGGAGATATAAATTATTCACTCAACCAACATACGATTTCTAGAAAAATCTCAAATGAAATAATGTTTTTAATTCACGTAGAGTTACGTAGAAACTTAAGTCGCATGTTATACACTTATTGTTTTCCTAACTTGCTTTTATGTTTTTTTATAAACTTAGACACAAATTTTTCCAAATTTATATAAACAAATTGTTTAGTAGAAGAGACTAATGTTTAATGAAGAAAAATCTTAATTGCATCGAATGTAGATACATCCACACGTTATAATATATAAAATTTCGAAATATTATCTTATATATCGTCATAGTCTCTTTTACTATGAATACTTAAACAACACTATGCATTAGGACAAATAAATTGAAAATTTCCAAAGACGGCACATTCCTTACATTTACAAAAATCATTCACCAAGTCATTGAATTTGAACTATCCGTTTGCTCATATTGCAGTCACTCTGTACGAATTTCACATCACTAAAGCTGAAAAATACATCACACAAGTAAAATTTTTACACTTGATTAAACTAACTTAGAATAATAAGATTAGAAACACATTAATACCTAATATTAATTGCACCACCATTACGTAAAGTCATTGTCATGGTCACGGTTAAATTTAAAAATGTGAGACTTTCTGATCTGATCTTATCTAATATCTAGAAAATTCTCATTGAAACAGGATTTTGGCAAGTAAAAATTTCAAAATATAGTTCTAAAAAAAGTGTAAAAAATCAAATATTTTATTAAAACGATATTTAGATGCTTCTTGAAATCATTTATATTTCTCAAAGAATGATTGATTTTTAAAAAATGTTTGATCAGTTGAACTAGGAAAATATAAACATTCAAAATAAAACGAAACTATCTATCTTTTGGACTGACGAGACTTAAAAATTCAAACTTAAAAGTGATTTGCCATCTCAAACGCTGATGTCATTAGAGAAAAAAGAAAAGAAAAAAGAACCCGTGACGGTGCCTCTTTTCACCTTCATACTATTTGTCCTAATTCGCGGCTATAGGCCTTAACTCGAACCGCCACAGATCGCCGCTAACGAAGACAAATTCGATCTCGAACTCCAAGTCCAAGGAGATTCCCGGCCAAAATCCCGATGTGCTGAGAGACCAACCGCGTCAGCAGCAATCAGCAGCACAGCAACGCGTCATCGTCAAGTCGTCAATTGCCCCGATGACCAATCAAGTCTCGACGCCAACGTCACCTACGATACCAGACATGGTGCAACAGGCACCCAAGTCCCAAAAATTCGAGTCCGATGATACGACGACGTGCAGCGAAGCGACCTCAAATCTGCTGATGAACAAGCGCAAAAGGGTTTTCACGAAAAAGCAGCCGAACGCTGGTGCTAACAAGATGAACAACAACACTCTGGCTGACAACCCCGTGGAGAACATCAGGAAGCAGCTTGAGAAGCTTGAGGATCTCGGGGATCAGCTGCCCAGCAACGATACAGCCTATACCGTCAGATATCCATTCCAGGACAAGTGTGAGTAAAATTGTAGCATAACATGCATTATTTTTAATTTATTTCCAATTAAAGGTATCTACTTAAATCACACGTCAGTCAAAAAAAAAAAAGAAAAAAAAACATACACACAACTAAAGCACCGCGGCCCTCTATAACTGTGGATGTTTACAGCACCAACCAACGTGTCATCTGAGCTCGAGTTTTTCAAGCACCGTATCCACCTCGAGCGCGATTTTGTGAAAAGGGCTCGAGAGGCACTGCGCCAGCAGAGAAGTGCTTTCCAGAGCAGACAAAGGGCGTGGAAGCAACGTAGCTCCAGAGCGACCCTCGATCAGATAGTCAAGGTACGGTGGACAATTGCACACGCGCATGTACGCAAACACCTTAGTCAGAGCTTTGTGCTCGATGAAGTAGGTTTTCCTATCCCCCGTCCAAAGTCAGGTCTTGACTAATTCATCGTGCGTTTCTGAGCATCAAGCCATTGTTTTTACCATTTTAGCCCTCTGACCTATTTCTGCCTTTCTCAGCACGTACATCAAAGTTATCATTTTTTTCTTTTGTGTATTTAAGCACATTTTTGGCACATTGTATTTAAGCATATTTTTAGTTTAACTTTAGAAGAACGAAATCAACAAAAAGTAATCCAAAAGTTAGTTAAATTTTATATTGGTTGTAAAAAAAATTGAGCTTTTCATTTTTCTTACTCTTGTTATTAAGGTTTGGTATGGTTAACAATAATCTAATGGCTTAGTAATTTTTTCACAAAAAAAAACCAAATAAATAAAATTATATTTTTGAGCATAAATTTACGGCACTTGGACCTTAAATAGTCACCAAGAAAAAGTAGGAAACTCATCGTTTTGATATTTAGCAGTCCACTTCGGAAACTCGTAAAATTTTAATGATCCTAAAATATGCAGGAGGAACGCGAGCTGTCGGACATGGAGGTGAGTTTGCACCGGACGCGCAGCCTCCTGGGCGAGAAGGTGATTCATTTGCGTCATTTGGAACAATCACTCGAGAGGGTGGCCAACGCCAGACGAAGCGAGAACGAAGTCAACGCCGCGGCAATTGGTGGTGGCGCCAACAAGAGCGACGAGCTCACTCTGAGCGACATGTCGAGCGCCAGCAGCGGGTTCAGCTCCACGGACCTTGGCACTGACATCATCGGTATAGTTTCAAAGCTCTTTTGGCGCACCTAAGCGATACAAATTTTTCGAAAGATTATCACTCACCCACGTGATTTTGTCGGATTATTATGTAACACATTTTTTTACTTTTTTCCAACGCGAAGCGTCTCTGCGTGCGCTATTACTTAACAAAAAATCTAAATATCTCAAACCACCATTCGTTACGATAGCAATGATCGAAAATGAGAAATAAAAAAACAATATCGAAAGAAAGAAATTAAAAAAAACAGCACGACGCAAAGGCGAATGTACGTTTCGTGCGAGCCGTGTATCTTTAGCGGTGGGTCGGTATGAGCGAAGGATTTGTTTAAGAAGATTGTTTGTGTGCTCTTGGTCATAAAGAAACGACGGAAAAAATAGCGGCAAGTCTGGAGAGCCTTAACTCGGAAATACGCGAGATTTGGGGTGTGTTGAATAAACGCCAGGAGAGCGGAGTGATGGCCTCGATGCCACCCCTGCCACCGGCGGCCCTCATGTACACGGACCTGTCCTGGTACCCTTACCAGCATCAATTAACCAGCCAGCCATCAGCCGGTGCTGCAGGTTAGAATCGATTTCAGCATGACTAGCCATCGCCATCACCATCACCATCTATATGTGATGCTTGCGTGTCACTTGGATCCTTCCGTATCGTATATACTCCTGTATAAACATATATACACACTTTTGTTTTTGGATCTGAAGGTTTTACAGAAAAGTACTACTACCTTGATTTCAGTTCATCCTTTATTGAAATTTTTTATGTTGCCCCGATACTTGTTGAAGTCTTATTTCCTAGTAATAACCTACACTTGATTTGGGTCAACAAGTTATGTTTGTTGTTATGATATAGCTTTCGATCCAACCATTCCCTTAATATTAGTTGGAATAAGTTGAATTTGTTGTTTAATTCAATCGTTATTCATAGTAGTATTGACAATTGTTGTTATTTTGTTGGTTCGGTTGACCTTTTGGGCTCTACAATACGTGTTAAAATTTGGGCAACACAACTTTTATATTACAGTTATACATCAGTTTATACTTTTACAAGTAGTACTGTTCCTTAATAAAATATTATATGCATGTAGCAAAACATTTTCCTCTAAAAATTACTACTCTCAAATTTTACTTAATTTTTTCTTTAATTAAATTTTAACAATTACTGTATCTATTTCCAACGTACTAGCATTAATTCCGTCCGTAATAAGTAATAATTATTGGCTCCTTCTCTTGAGTAGCTCTATGATACGCCATGTTAATTCAACTTTGTCTTGAAAAAGTCATTATTCACAAACTATGTACATACACGCAATTTTCATTCATTGCAGCCAAATAAAAAATGAAGAAGAATACTTAATATTTTACACTTATTCTTTTCAGAATAGCTCCACTCCTAGAGTAATTTAAAATTTCAATAACTAACGAAAAAATGAGGATGTAAGAAATTTTAATTTAGATCAAACTGCACTCGAAAAGCTAACTACCTTTAGAAGTAGCAGACTGCAGAAGTTTGATCTCAAAAATGTACGTTTGTAAATGATGGTTTTTTCGAATTCAGCATCAGAAAATACATTAAAGTTCACTCATTTCAACGCATTTTTCAGTACACATGGAGATAGCTGAGTTTTTTTTCATCACTTTTCAGTTTAAACTCGAGCCCCCGATGTATAATAATTTTTAAATCTGAAAAAATAAAGAGAACTTTTCTTTATTACATTAAATCTTTACATTCGTTCCAATAGTCCATTATATGTCGAGTTAAACAAACACATCAATGTTTATTAGTAAAGTAACGTGTCTGAAAAACCATATTCTCACTTGAGTAATACAACAGCACTCATACAACAAAATATTTGATGTCAATATACGAAACAAAACTATTCACAATTTGCCAACCCAGTTCATCATTATAAACAAAAAACATCTGCATCCTGCTTGATACAAGATAAGTCTAACCTCTAGATAACGCTCTAAACTAATCCAAGAATGAACGAATGTTTTATCCACAGCTTTTGGCACTCCAAACATCCAGTCAAACATCTTGTCACAGTTAACAGGCTCCCACCCACCATCCGGTACGACCCAGAACATAATAGCCCAATACGGGCCAACGAGCGGCTACACAACAAGCGTCGGTACAGTAGAACAGATGCCGGCCGGTTCGGGCAATCTCATTGAGCGCACTCGCAATTTGAAAGACTGGCTGCGCCAGGCACGTATCGAGACCTCGGACCTCGTCAGTCCTGGACAGGCTACGCTCTAAGCGTACTCGTATGCTCATTAATTTACTAATGCACATTGATTTGCATAGTTTATTGGAATCACGAGGACTAGCGATTTATAGGTTATGGGTTACCTCTCGTAGATAAATAGTTGGGATTGAAGTCAGACTGTAAATTTTTTTGAACCTGGGCCTAAAGTGTATACTTGAACTAGTGCAATCATTTCAGATCTAGTCCTATGAATGTAACTCTATGTATGTAAATAAGGGAGATATTGAATTGTAAGTTAATGAGATTATCAGGATAACGAAACTACTGAAAAATCTATTCAATCATTATGCGCATTACTGTGAAGCTGGATGTTAAAAAAAAACAACAATTTTAAAAAGCATTAGGAGTGATGTATAGTTATAATGTTGATGGATTTTATCCACTGATTTTAAAGGCTTTTAAAAAAACATTAGTTTTTACTAATAGAATTTCTAGTTAGTGTTGACATTCATAATTGCGAAGAAAAACGAGAAAAACCTTTTTATCATGCATAATATATTTCATTTATTTTGCATATAATGTTTTAAATTCAAAGAATAATTTTCAAAAATTATGTGAGCAAAATCTTGCGACATATCCTTGTCAAAATGGTAATCCATGTTATTACGATGAATTAAGTATACTTTGCCAGTGATTCTTTTAATTTATCTCTAAAAATCAGCACTAAATGTGCTAAAATAGTATTTTCAACATATAACTCGATAGTAATGTTTTACACTAAAGAAATCATGAATAAGGATAAGTAGATGGCAATATCCCTTATGTGTATAGTACTAGTGAAACTTTATTTAGTAAAAATTTGTAAAAAAATTTAAATTCTACTTATCCACCGGAATATTTGTACTAACGATTAAACATGATCGTATTACAATGTCGAACAAAAAAAATAGTCTAAAATATCAAAAATAAAGTATAGAACTCACCTAATACTACATAAAAAATTTCGTCGTTTATATAAACTTTGTATAAATTGATCGTTTGGATAATACTGTGTGATACATTTGTGTGCGTGTATGTCTATACATTGTATTGTTAGACTGAATACATAATATGTAAATTTACTTTCAAATGGACTGATGGTTATTGACCTAATGCTGATGCTCAAAGACATCTTTTGTAAACATGAGGGTAGTTAATACACACTGTATGAATTGAAACTCAGCGATGGACGATGCATACGTTTTTATGATTTTAAAGGATAGCTTTGGTTAAATCAATGATACACTGTATACTTGTGTGATATGTGTGTAAATGAACGTATTTGGTTCGTGTGTTTACGATATGTGTACTATATTTCATTCGTGTAGATGTACATTTAGGTATATTACAAAATCAAATGATTCAATATAAGCTAACAGCGAAGTGCAATCAGAGTATCGCACGGCCATGATGAAAAAATGCGTCTTTTAATGACAGAGTATTTTCTGGTATGTAACATTTAATTTCATTTCTTAACTATTTTTAGCGATTTTACGATGTGTTGCAAGTTCATGAGAATATTGTAAACAAACTCTTACGTGGAATTTTTATGGGCTTCATTACTAATTTTAGAACAATTGTGAAAACAATTATCAAAATAAGTTTTTCACGCGAATGTTGTAGATCAATGCGTGAATATCATTTCACCGACCAAATTTTCATTTATCAAGTATCGAAAAAATGAATATCCTATCGAGATTTTCATCACTATTTTAGTCTCTGAGTTTCCTGGTATACGCCAAAAATTTTTACTCGTAACGTGATGCCAAATGTATGTAAAATAGATATTCGATGAAGATTTTAAAATCTTGAGTCATTAAAATAATTACATCAAAATACCAAAGATAGCTTTAAGGATGAAAATTTAACTAAAATTTTAAACTAGTACTATTGTGGTATCAGAAAAATTAGTAACAAAAAAGTTCTTTAATAATTTTGTACCTTGGAGCTTCAAGGGCACATTATTATGAAAAATGACAGATACTTACAGAAAATCATTTTCTGTCGCGATAATCTTAGTTAGGGGTTACAAAATCATAAATAAAATAAGCAAATTAACTATGAATGAATTTGAAAGTGAAGCTAATATGTACGAATTGCAATCGATCAAACTTTTTGCAAAACGATATTATCATCAAAATATTCTTAGAATAATAAAAAAATTTTCAGAAAGATTAATAAAAAAATTATAGCGATATTACATGAATTATATATGTAAGTTTGTGGCCCTAAATTTTTAATATGTACTGTGTGTCTGTGAGCTCCAAAGTGCATTATTTACGTAGTACCGTCCTTGTCCTCAAATATTATTTTGTATAGGAAAAAAATTAAAAGAAATATATTAAATGTTGAGTCCTGTTTAAGAATGAAGTACATTGTCGATTAAAAGCACTTTCCAAAATGTGTTATTTACAATACTTATTTATAGCACAGTTATTGCGAAGAGTATTTGTTTCAATAAATTGACTGAAACTTAGAGCTGGAAAAAAGATACGTAAATATAGCAAAATATATGATGTGTCAAAAAGTATTACAGTAATAAATACGAGAGGAAAATTTATTTATTCAACCGTTTCGTACAAACGTAACAAATAAAACCGAAACGTTTTAGATGGTAAAAAAGAGTATTTACAACATATTTTTGTGGATGTGAGTTATTAAATAATCTTTTAAGATAATGGTCGATGTACTTCTTTCGTCAAATCAAAATATTAACAATTGAATTTAATCTTTGAACATGATTATGTTATAAGTGTTGAGATATTTTTTCATAGTTTAATTTACAAAAGACTATGTAAATAAATTTGTATGATGTATAAATAATTTGTGTTAAAGAAAATTCTCTTAGAAGAAGTTGATAGTCTAATGACAAGTGTTTGTTTGAATAATTTTTTATCTATACACTTCTTTATCCAATAAAGAATGCCAGTTAGATTAAATTAATAACTGCATTTGTATTGTGTAATTTTATTAAAAGCTTTTTGGTATCCTACGTTTTCATAACATTTTCTACAAACATTTTTAACTTTTCCATACTACATATTGTTCAGATATTAAGAATATTTTTGATGGCACTAATTTTAATTAATTAGTGCAAATATCATTATTTTCTAATTTTTTTATTTAAATTATAATATTAAGTTACAAATTCTGGTAAGGTATGGGACAATCTGTATGCTTATCATCACATACGTCGGAGTAATCCTCGAATTCTTCTATCGAGGGTAGCCAAGACGTGAGATCTCGTTTAACACTTCTGGAATTATTTTTTAGCGATTTCTGGGCTGCCCAAATTATTGGCGAGGTTTTGCACAACAACAGTTTCACACATGAGGACTCCAAATTATTGGCATACAGAGCTAGTCGATCTGGTAAATTTTTATCTTTTGCTTGTTGAAATAGATTTTGAACCTTAAAGAGATGGTACGTATCGTAATTCATTGACACATGCATAGATTTTTTTCAAATTTCATAAAATATTTAACTTACTTTTTCATTGTCACTTTCCGTAATCAGTCTAATCGGTTCCATAAAAGAATCATCTTTATTTAATGATCTGGCGTGCTCAACTTTTGGAGTAATTTTAAAAAATTCACTTATCTGCAACAATTTACGAATTAGTAAGAAGATAAAAAAAACACCATAGATGGTCTGATAGCCCTTACCATTTGAGCGAAAAAAATAAAGCTGTTTATAGCAACCGCCGTGACTTTCTTAGAATCTAATCCGAGAAGCCGAAAAAATGTTGACACCAAGTTGGTCGGCTCAAATGGTTTGTTATATTGATTATCACCAAAGTTTGCGTCATCGCCGCGTTTCTTCTGAGTTTGCCCGGACCTCAAACTCTTTGAAACCAGGTCTGCTATATCTCGGGCTGTCTCCAAGTAATTCCTAGCATTTTGCAGACCTGCCTTGATTTTATCGAGAACTCCTGTAATAATTAAAAATGTACAATTTTTAACAACCTTTTTTTTTTATATCTTATATTTTAGGCTTGTAGCAAATCGAATTAAGTAATCGCATGTTTGTAAACAGGAATGTAAAATCACAATTATAATTAGAAGTTACAATACTGTTAAGTTTATTCAATCATATGCTTGTTATAAATATACAAGCATAATAGTGACATTTTTATTGACGTAAAAAAATTAAAAGTCAAAAAATCCAGTCTTCCTAATCCGCAAATCGTTTGTAGATCCTACATAAAATGTAAAACTAATATTTTTTAGCTGCTACGATTATGTTAAAATAAATATTTAAACCTGTGAACCATCAAAATCTATCAATGAAACCTTCAAATGAGATTAATCAAAAATTTTTTTAACTATTTTCGCAACGAAAAAAAGTAAAAATTAAAAAAAATCAAAATAAGAAAAAAAATGATTAAAAATAATTAACTAAGCTTTTTCATACTCTGTCAATATTTTGAGAATTAATTTAAAAAATTTTTCCGCCCTCGGGTGGTTTTGGGAGGCTGGTACTTCCTCGGGCGAAAAAGCAGTTTTCCGGAACTCGTTCAAAAAGTCTCCTTTACGAACCTCCTTACGTCCCTCGCCTTCGGCTCGGGCCGCAAACCTCTCGGTTCGCAAATAGAGACTTTTCAAACTCGTAGGAAAACTACTATTTACCCAAAAAATATTTAAGTTAATTTTTTAAAGATAAAAAAATTCGTTTTAAAATCATTGGTAATATACAAAACTACATTCATATTTCTGAGCTTCTACGATAATCATATAAAAATGAGCCTTGTTATCCATGGATCCTTAAAATCTGTTACCAGGATGTCAAGATGTGACTGATAAAGCAAAAAAATTTTAATTTTCTTGTTGGGAAAAAAATCAGTTACAATTCAGTATGAGTAAAATAAAAAAATTAATCTACAGTTACGTTTGATGAATTGAGATTGTTTCAAAAATAAGATTAAAATAGAAAATTATTTTCAAGAAAATTTTTTTTATTTTTATTTTACAAAGCTCTTTCTACTAAGAAACAAAGTTAGCTATACATGAATATATTGCACACTTAATAAAACGTTATGCTCCATTTTTAGTATGTCACAATACATAAAATGCAGAAGTATGCAATGGACTAATGATTTTATGCATAGTCATACGCAGTCAATTATTTGTTGATTTTGCGCACAGTTGTATGGTTGTAAGCAAAACTATGAATTTCACGATCAAAGAATTAGAAATAATAAAAATTTGACAGATAAGTCTCTCACTCCAACCAATTACCTTCATTCGCCAAAGCGCACGGCACCGAGACAACAAGAAATGAGAAGTAAAAAACCGCACAACTTAACGACATCTTGTCCTTCGAAAGTTCAAGACAGCACTGGGAGTACCAAGTCACAATAATCCTGAAAAATCATACACAGTCCCAACAAACGGAATCGAGGTGACGAAGATAATTGAGGCAATCTTGGCAACCATATTTTGCCGTGGACAAGTGACAAAAGTGCCGTTGCAGCACGCGCCGCTCTGTTACCCATGCAGGAGACAGTAATTGTTGAACGGACGTCGCACCTCTGGCCGGTCCTGTGCCACCAACTTGCCAAGCTGGTCAGTCACTTTTGGAAAGTCCGATGAAAAACATATCCTATTTTCATAGTTTATTAACGGAATGTGATTGGCTCTCGAATTGGCGCTGACTTATTTTATTCACCTGTTTTTATTCGATCACCCCTACGATCATGGATCTGCACGGTCTTGTGTTTATGACGATATTTTCACTGCCCTGCTATGCATTAAATACCAGCGGTTTGTACTTCAACCAGGACGAAGTGCAATCTTTGAGCGAATTACCGCTCGACAAGCTGATACAGATAAAATCCTCGTTCGCTAGAAAAAGTAAGTACGACGCGTGATTATCGTGACAACACTCTAGATTAAAATATCTTAAATATACATTTTTTGGCTCAATCGGACAATACTCGTTTAATTTGACAAAAGGGCGACTTGTAATCTTGAAAAACAATTTTATGTATAATTAGTGAGAGATTTACGATAAGTGCCGTGTGGAAGTTTGGTGGATACATATTCTTTTCACGTGTGAATAGATGACCTCAGACGCATTTCAATCACACTGAGCCGATATAAGTATACATGTGTAACAAATGGCACTGCAAGCTATAGGCTAGGTCGGGACAAATTTTTCTACCACGTTGTATCAAACTCTTATACTTATGCCGCTTACGAGGCGTGAAAGGGGGGCTTTTGTTTAACACCACGCATCGTAATCTTTGTTACGCAATGAAAACGTAACGCGCGTCTTACAAGTGAAATTGGAATAAACACTTTAATCTCGTACTCCCGGAAATTATACGCTGCTAGAAACTGAAAAATAACTTTGTATCTCCCTTTAAGGTGCTTCATGCGTGAAATGATTGTCGTCAGAGTTGAATGATGCTTTGAGGAATTTTTTGTATGGACTCGTATCCAGAGTAGTACGATTTATACGAAAAAGTATAAATCTTTACTAGCCAGAAATAAAACTATCATAAAAAAGGTCATTAGATTAGCACCTCGAAAAAAAGTCATTTTGCCTAATGAAAAAACATTGATGAAAATAAAGACAAGCATTATTATTGCAAAATTATTTTTAGAACCTTTTCTATTGAGTAGTTGTTTTAATTTCAACAAGATTGATACAGTCGCTCTTTTGACTTGAAAGTCACACACAAAGCACCTTATTTCGACGTTGTTTTAACAATTGTACCGTATAATGGTAAAAAAATATCGTCATCTCAATGCCAAAATATCATGGCTCCCTTGCAGTATCTTTAAGCAGTATCTGTTTTTATAATGGTAAAAAATGGCACCTAAAAACTTTGATACCACAATTTTAAAACTCCCAAAATTCTGTGGCCATACAGAGCTTATCCATACAAAGAGACACAACGTCAAAGTACATAATTATGTTATCCATATCTACAAGTGAAAAACGCATTTACTCGTTTCAGGCTCAGATGACTACGACCTGATACCGGAGGCTCGCACTAGATCAGCGTCAGTTGTGCCAATGGCGATGTCCCTGAGACGAACATCCGGAAGTAATAATGGGCTAATTCGCCGTCACGGGATGGAGGAGGAAAAGGGCAAGGACTCTAAGATATCGAAGATATTTCAGCTGACGGTGACGGCGCTCTCGTTTTTGGCCTTTGGTGGGTATCTGTTGACACTCATCGTCACCGCTATCAAGCGCAACCAAATCAACGTAAATCCTGGCGTCATTGTCCTCTCGGTGAGTTTGCAGTTCGCACTGCTGTAACATGTAGTAGCTTCATTGTACATTCAAAATGTTTTATTATTATTATTATTATCATTATTATTATTATTATTATCATTATAATTATTATTATTATTATTATTATTATTATTAGTATTATTATTATTATCATTATAATTATTATTATTATTATTATTATTATTATTAGTATTATTTGGGACGTGTTATTTGCTGTTTGAAATACTATGTTGTACTGTTTTTGCTCTACGTACTGGATGACATTGATTATTAACGATATAGATAGTATAAATTGTTTTACGACGAGACTTTTGAAGGTAGCATCAAACGAAAGCCTCGAAAAATCCCAATTTGTCTATAAAGCTTCAGATTTACAAGGCTTTATCGGAATTATCAAGATGTCATTATTATAATAAAAATCCATGAGTTATTTGACCTCTTACTGTCTTTGAGTGATCTTTTGATTTCTATCACTATCTTAAAGAACGACTAGTTGTGAAATTTTGTTAAAACAACTTTAAAGTTCGAACTTGAAGTCACCAGTTAGTCCCCTCTGAAAACTATATGACTTCCCTACTTGAGCCCATTTTTAATCGAGGTCTTCCTGCAACAGCTTAAAAGAGAATGTAAAATTAAAAATAAATAACTTATAAGCCCGTCTGATAAAGTTTCGAGATAGGAATGAAAAAATTCACCGAACCACGTGAAAATAGAATACTTGACGATTAAATTTTTTCCAGGGCCTCAACAGCTTGCAAAAAATCAAAAGACCCAAGCGGGGACTGTTGGTTCTCGACCCGGCAGAAAACGAATACGACACGGAAAGGATGTACAGGGGAATGATAATGCTCTCGAGTGACTACAGCAGACACTACCATTGAGCTCCACTGGAAAATGTTTGTCATATAATGCATCACCACCCACAGTAATTATATAAGTATATGTATAAAAAAAAAAAAAAAAAAAAAAAAAACGATTCATAAATAAACATGGATGCGAACAAATAATCATTAACCGTATCAGTAAAGACGAATCATTTGAACTCGCACTCCCTCCCCACACATCCATGCGTATCCCTCATTATTTATCTCGGCTACGAGGCAGAGAGCAGATATCTTTATCGTATCGCGATCGGCCGGAGAATCTTAAAACCTAATAAAATCGAATAGAAGCTCTCTCTCTCTCCCGATCTCCGTACACACACGTATACATATATGCTATTGGAGATTATTCTCGGCCTGGATCCCTCTGTACGTATGTACACATACGCGGCAACACACCAGCCGTTGTCCAAATATACAAACGATTCTTTACGTGTATAACCCACAGCTCTCATCCACAAAGATAACCATATGGCTATGTGCTTGTATATACGCGGGTGTGCGCGTTGAAAATATACTTACGACGAGGGGTGCATGGGAGCATTTACGGGAAACTGGAGATATTATGGACAGTGTCGTGTTGCGCGAGTGCCACTGGATTTATATATCGGCCGAAGGCTTGCGAGTTATTGTATTGGGAAAAAGAATGCACGAGGTCACAATTTGGATACGCCTTTTGCGATACACTTGTTGCGGCAGCTAATCTGTACCAAAGCGTGTCTTTTTGAAATCAAGTGATTTAGTTCCGCTGTGTGGTGACTCTAACACCGTGTTTTCATGATACACCCTAACATTTTTGTTAGATTAATTGCTTCGACATTATTTCAATCCTTCAAATCACGACTATACGTGATTAATCATCTTGCTGGGAGGGACGCAATAAAATTAATCGACAAGTAATAATGAATTACGACAAATAACAAAGTGTGGAACTTAATCGATAATTATGAGGCATGTCGTCCTTTTCAGTTATACTTAATACTATGTGTGCCTATTATAAGGTAACTACATCGTCTGAAATGATGTAAAGTAGGGGTGGTAAGGGACGAAGGTTTTTTTTTCTACCGACATTAATTTAAAAATAGGCCTTGACCCATAATGTATTATTCGACGGCGTAAACTGCACACGACACGCGTGACCTTATCGGCGTACATTACTCGAGTTCATCGGCCATGAGTCGTATAGCTGGTCAAATGGTTCAATGTCGGTGGAGATACAAGCCGATTGGGGCGCGTTTCACAAATTAATTTTAACGATGGTTCGGTATACGCTGTTTCGACGATGGAGTTGGTTCTTTACTTATTTAGAACCAAGTCACGTGAGTTTTACAGGTTGTTAGGAAACATTTGTCTGTATGATAATTTATGTCATCAAGGGACCATTGATTCTTATGTGAGGCTCTGCAATAGTTTAAGATTTCAACAAAATTTTATAATGTAACGGACGATTCTGGAAAAAATAATCCAAAATTATGTTTTATTGTTTAAGTAATTCAATATTATATTTTCAATATTGTGTTGGAATAATTTCAAACAATCTATATTTATGAGCAATAGAAAATTTTTTCAATGTTAGACAACAATTTATTTGACGATGGTGTATTTAAATTTTGCATCGTAAGCTATTTTATCGATTAAATAAAACTTCATTGCCCCACAATTTATGAGTATTCGTACGTTATTTCCTTTGATTTCACATTGATTCGAGATCCATGTGGTTAAGGATAGCCTCTCGGATATTGTAAATAAACACACTTGCATCGTGAACATTTTCCCCCGAGTTTCGAGTACCTAAATCTAATGATTCAGAAAGGAAGAAGTGATGAAAACAAAGCCAAGTACATCGTGTGCAGACGATAAAAATATGAAACCCCGATAATCCGAAGCCATTGGATTTCGCAGGGCCCCAGCTATTCTCGGGCAACAATGCGCCGCCCGATTTATTTGTTCAGCACCGGACGCTTTATTTGCCGGCTCAGCTCTTTGGGATCCTCTCCTCTCGCCACGCATCCCGCCTACATCCGACCGGTCGACCAGCCAGCCAATCACAAGGGCTCTTCCGGAGCCTTCGCCGAGACGCGTGATTTTTTACTCTCGGAATAAAAGGCCCGCTTCGAAAATTCACGGTCCAGCACGCGAGGGCCGCGAGAATGGCTTCTTCTCGCGTTGGACTCGCTCGTGAGAGTATCAGGCTCGTGAAAGTGTAATGGTGCACGATACCGACTCGTTCGATAGAACATTTATTTTTGTTCAGTTTTTCGGTCAAAAAATTTGATAATACTAGTGCTGGGTGCATTTAGTGATCGATTTTGTCGTTTATTCAAAGAAAAATCATTTTGTGCCGCAATGGGAACCAAAGGGTGTAACATGACACAACTGAACTTTGGCATTGAAAGAATACTTTCCGGTAATTTTTCCAGAGACAAAAGCATAGGTGAGTTTCTCCTCTTCAGAAATATACGGTTAAAATTGCAGGAAAAAAAAAATAACGGTAATTTACAGAAAAAACAAGTGCTCGCGAGCTTCCAGTTTGCTCTAGGACGTGCTCGTTGCCTGCTTATCACGGAGAGTACGAGTTTCTGCAAAGTCACTCGAGTCTAGCGTACTCCTATCAGCCACACGCGTATACGATCACGCGTTCGCGTATCACGTCGATTGCAAGTAATTTTGGGAACGTCGTTGGAGGTAACATTAACATCATCAGGCCCGCACCAGTTCGGCCTCTGCCTAAAGGTACTTACGTTGAATTTCAACTCCAATAGTCAATCCAAGTAATAGGTGCCTTAGTAGATTTTTCACGGATTTTTTCACAACCGAAATTTTTAATCCTGCATTGTTTATATACAGACTTTGACACGAGCACTTAGAAAAATAATTACTTGGCGTTGATAACTTTTTCTAAAAATTTATCAAATTTTTAATTATTACTGCTTATAACGATATACTAATGAAACCTTTTTTTGGTAAAAATAATGTATGATATTCTAAAGGGAAATAAATTTAGAAGAATAACGGTGTCAAATTATTTTTAGTTAATTTAGTTTATTGAATTCTTCATGATACACTTCATAATCTTAAAAAGAATTACGTTTTTTTTTTTGAAAAAAATTAATTTTCCGTTACGAAATTGTAACAACCTAGTAATGTAAATAAATTTTAGCAAAATAGTGCTTTAAATTTTTTCAAAAATCCGTAGTCTGTTTCAAGTACGTAAAAAGAACTTTTTTTTTATTCTAACAAATACTACTATAATCATTCATTTGAAAAACTAGTACATAGTAGATAAAATAAATGCATAAGTAAGAATATATTTTTAATATAATATGTTACGGGCCATTAAAAAAAAAATCATGAATTTCCAAATAATTTTTACTGCTTTTACTATAACAACGTAACCAGTATTTCCAGTAAAATTAACCAGGACATAAAATGTTAACGGTCACCAACTACCTTCAGTGGAATTACAGTGTTAGATAAAAATACTTGTATTTTCCAAAAAGTGGATAATAATCCAAATACATTGAAATGCCACTAAAAAGTACCATCAAGTAGGTAAATGTAAGTCCGCTCTGCTTGGTTGCCTAAGGATTCTCGGGGTACAAGCAAGTGGGACAAAATGTTTATGCCTGAGTGTTGCTATACTCTCGCGTTTCCTGCCTCCGTTTTCTCAAACGACACTTAAAAGTGCCATCGTGAATTTACGTCTCTTCTGTAAATACAGACAACTGACGTTGTATGTTTACTCGATACTTTTTTTTTATCCTTTCAGCTACACAAAAATGTACGATTTACGTTTAATGTCAATTACGACGTTTTTTTACTGGTTAACGTATTATCTTTGTGAGAATAGTACTTAAAAATTACGACTAATCGATTAAGTTTTTTAATGTAGTTCAAATTTGTTGAGTCATCTAAAATACATCTTTGAAAAATAGCCTTAATCTGTGTTACGTTGCTAAAGAGTTTAAAAAAAAATCAATTTATTACTTTTTATTTAATTCATCATTACGTTGTTGATTTATAATTGAACACTTTCGGTTTTACCTGTTATCGATTTAATATGTATTTAAAAACTAATATTACTAATTATTCTACAAATAAGTAAAATAAAGAATCTTAACGGATAATTACTATAATATTTATAACTTTTTAAATTATACGTTAAAGAAATAATAAGCATTTATTTTTTTTTTTTTTAATTATGAATTCCAAAGAATAAGAATAGTAAAGAAATATTGAACGTACTATTAATAAATAAAGGGAATTTAAAAAATTAAACATTTTATGTTCAGAATGTATCTATGTACGTAGTATGACTTAAATAATTTTAAAAAATTAAAATTTTGTAGACTTGCGTGTTAATATTCATAAAAATTAATCAAATTTCAGTTGTGGACTGTTTTTTTTTTCGTTGAATATTAAAAAAAAATTCTTACAAATGAAAAAAACTAAAGTAATGGAAGTTTTATGATAACAAATTACAAAAATAATGGGTTATTTAATTCTTTCAATTTAACTTCAAAGATATAATAACTGATTATCAGAGGATAACTTAATGTTTGATAATTATTCTCAATGGCAAATATCTAACTCATGCACTAGTTTCATATTAATTATAACAATAAGTAAAAATTTATTAAAAAAACA